AGCCTGCACTAAGTGGGCGAGTTCAAGTGCAATCTAAGTGTGCCTCTCGATCCTCGGTCTAATCCTTTTTATCGGATTCACTGGCACGCGGCGTCCAGCGCTGATCTCTACCGCACGCCGCACCCGCTTCCTTCCCTGATTGGACTCTCTTCCGCTGTGCGAAGAAAGAAAGAGAAAAAAGGAAAAGGAAAAAGAAAAAGCAGGGTTTATCGAATTCGGGCGCGGGGAGTCGAACCCCGGACTGCGAGTTAAATTCAATTGCAAGATACAAGCTACACTCACGCTCGCGGTGTTGCGTACACCACACCCGATAACTTCATGCGTGTGATCCTTTGCTATGTGCGTGAGTTCAAGTTTTTGTTGCTTCACATCGCGACGACCAAATTCAACTCTCGACCGCGCCTTGCCAATTTGTTGCCAATTTCTAATGCAACACCGACACACGGCCTCCAGCGCTGATCGACGCCGCTGCTTTCCCTCCTTGGCAATCGAAGTATTCACCCACAGCTTTGACGGCCAGCAGAAGCAGAAGAAAAAAGAAGAGTCCTGCAGCTGGTGGTCGTTGCATTCGGATGCGGGGAGTCGAACCCCGGACTGCGAGGTATATCCTGCCTCATTCATTGTCGCTCGCTGTGTTGCGTACACCACACCCGATGAACTCACACAAGTTATCCTGTGCTAGGCCGGTGGGTCGGTGGGTCAGTTCAACTTGCTTCTACTAATTTCCACGACGTGAACTAGACCTCCGAGTCAACTCACTGCATGACCCCCAGATGCTTCAGTTTGACTTCAATTGTGTTCCTGCACGTCGTGCGCTCCTTCTAATCCTCTCTCTCTGCCTCGCCAATCCTTGATTCAGCACTGGAACACACTGATCGCCGTTGCGTTAGCCTTTCGGACAGCAAAACTATTCACGACTTTGCCTAGCCAAAAAGACAAAAAAAGATGGCCGGGAAAACGGGAAGTAAAAGGCAGTCCGGCTAGAAGGCGAATTCGGGCGCAGGGAGTCGAACCTCGGTCTGCGAGTTATATCCCGGAGAAATACATTCATTGTAACTCGCCGTGTACCGTACACCACACCCGATGCTTCAACCTCACGAAGCGGGCGTTCTAAAGGGTTTGTCCGCAAAGTCGGTGCTGCAACAAGGTTCAGCATGATTCCTGCCGTCAAAGTTGTTGAATACGAACAATAATACACTGGCCTCGACACCTGCCCACCTACTATAAAAGCTTTTTTCGTCATAAATTATGTACAGGAGCGATGCAGCTTGGAGCGTGTTGCAGGTACGGGTAAACCGGAGCTGTTACACCCATTTGTGAACAGGAACTGCTAAAATGTACACTGTGTGCCAGAACAGTACACATTTATTGTATATTGTGCAGTGCGTGGTCAGTGCACTACATTTTGTAGTGGAGCAGTCTACTCTCTACACACCACACCCAACCAAGTACAACAGAAGACTCTGCTTGAGCACCTCAAATTTACTGTGCGCAAGAGACAAATGAACGTCCTAAGCCAGCCTTATCGATGCCATCAGTCCCGTTCAACCGTGGGACTTCCCATTCGGATGCCGATCCCGCATATCATTGCCTGGGTCGACACTTGGGAAAGTGGGATCAATCCCACTCCCAACCACGCCACATAGTCGTGTCTCAAGCCTTGCTAGCAATGCCAATCCCAACATTCAATTGACGGCAGCCTCAGGTTTCTGTGATTTGTCTAGAATACGCAAGTATAACCTACACAATGATAAGTACAGGTGCATAGTAGAGGATGTATCTCAGCTGCACTGCGTTAGAGTCAAACGACCGAGGTCCCTTACAAATTAAAAAAAAAGTATGGACGGATACCAACACGTAATCCGAACCCGCGAGCGACCATTGCCTATGCACAAACAATTAGCTGGAGAAGAAATGGTTGCCAAAAATGCCAACACACCAGCGCAAGAGTCCGTCGCCGCCATGTCCGCGAACTTTTGGTTCATGAAACGGGCGGTGATAGTGTTCTCAAGGTATTGTGAAGATGCAGTCGAGTTGAAGAGAGATTGAGGAGCAGCGTTGCTTCGTATGGGAGCCAGAACCAAAAGGAAGAGATGCAGAAGCATGGATGCGGATGATGGAGCAACCAGGCTCTCGAATTGTCCAGCCGATCTTCAATTGATATTCGACACTCCAACCCGGCGCGCACGGTGTGGTTATTGTTGCCACGCCAGTTGATTTACCCTAGTGTATAGTGATGCAGAGTGATGCTCGATTGAATGAGCCCTGGGATATCGTCAAAAGGTAAGTAATTCAGAATCCACCTGAACCAGAAGAAAGTTGGTTGACATAGTGGAGGGAATTGGGTGCAGGGCTGGACATCCCACACGGATCCGTTTGAATATCCGGCAGAGACAGAATCAATTGGTAGGAATCACTGTTGTGCGTTCAAACTCTAGTCTAAGTTTGAGTACGGCACAATTCAGTCGCCATCCGAGATGCCTGAGACATGTTTTGTTCAACAAGAAATACTTACTTCGAAGGCCACGAGGAGATAGGAGATATATGTACAGTTCGAGATCGAAGAAGAGGGCGGTTATCTGGATCCAAATACAAGTCTGAATTGTCCCTCGTCGGAGGATTTGTGCGAACTCTATATCGTGAGACCGAGTGTCCGGTGCGAGATGGCTCCAAACCTGACAGAGGCAGTAAAAAAATGGGAATTTGTTGCGTGCTCTCACACTACTGACGTGATTTTACGATAACAACTGCCCGGGATTGAGTACAGATGGGAGAAAAGTGCCATCTCTCCGCATCCGGATCCCACTATGTTTGTTGCGGGCATCTCGGGCATCTCGGGCATGTTGAATTCCCTGATGAAGCTAGGTGCGGACCCACGCATTATTTGTACCATGATTTGAAGCACCATAATAGCCCAGGAATCCGGCCCCCAACCATGCAGACCGCGTCGGACGTTGGCAAAATATCGGCAACTGTCGGACAGCCATGTCATTTCGGACTTGTGTAAGAGTGGAACTCAAGTGGAACTGACATTTTTGATCATAGCCCGAGCTACACAGACAGTTCACGCCAAGCTGGCCAGCGGCATTGCTCGCTGAAACAAGGAACGGGTGGTCGAGCCACCCCATGGCCTAAAGTTTAAACCCAAGCTGCCGGAAAAAAAGAGGATGAGTTGAACATAATCCTGATGTATTCTGCGGGAGATAAAAATGGCGGGCAGACAGCATTGTCCAGCTACCTACGATATGTTCCCAAAGTTGAATTGCACCTGATTGACACGCAGTGCTCAACTCGAATCCGAACACATTGTTAGAGCGTCTTTGTGGCCTGCACATCTCCTGTGCATGGTTTTGGCTGGAAGCTCGCCGTTCAGAAAAGGCAGCAAAATTTCCCCAGATGACTAGAAGACGGAACTGAACTACCGCGGATGGACTCGATCTGTCGGCATAAATAAGGGTCCGCATAGGTTCACGAATGATTGCAGCACTCCGTATGACGGCCAGTAAACGGGTGTATTCTCTGAAGAAATCTGGTGCCCGTATTCCTGCATTGAACCCGCTGGACAGAGGTTGAAAACGGAAGTTGGGGGAAAGGTGGATTAATATGCCGCTCGCTTGGGGGCGAATTAGCCATCGGAGCAAACAGAGATACTTATGTATAGGATACAGTTTTGCCACGAATTGTGAGGAGAATAGTTCCCAACGGGCGTGTACTCTTCGGATTGCGCGTGCATACAACCAATAATATCACATCGCCTTTTCATTCTTGCATGTACATTGATATAGAATGATAGTGCAGTGGAGAGAACCTGAAAAAGCAGGGGAATCGCCGGCCAAGCACCGACTGATATCCAATGTTTTAAGCGCATATACTCGCCTACGGGAGCAATCATTCCACCAAAGGCAGAGGGAGTGGGATTCCCGTTCCCGTTCCCATTCCCAACGGGAGTGTTGGGAATGACGCGGATGACGAGAGGATTGATTTAGATTAGATATAGTTCAATCTACAGCAGTAACGAGTTGGTACAAAGTTGTTAAAGAGTTGGTAACAAGTGCAACTTTGTCAAGTTGAACATTGAGAGTTGTCCCGTAAAGTGCAGCAACTTGATCGAGTTCACATGTGTGGTTATACGTGAACAATATGCCAGTAACCAGTACATTTTCGTTGTGCATGTACCTTGAATCGGTGTTCCTGCGCATTAAATGGTGTTCATGTTTGGTGTCCGATGTACGTAGTACTACGTAGATAATTTTTGACGATAAATACCGTCATACCTTGATGGCTCGGGACGCAGGACGGCGTGTCCAAGAGAACATATATGAGAGCGACAAAAGGACGACACAAAATGCATAACGGTAGAGTAACTCACCTAGTTCGGGGCGGGGAGTCGAACCCCGGTCTGCGAGATGAACTTGAACAGTTATCTGGAAAACACAGTCAAGCTCGCGGTGTTGCGTACACCACACACGATGCTTCACTCCTGCAAAGGGGTGAGGTTCTATTGAAAGGGCTTGTCGTCAAAGTCGGTGATCAACGACGGGGTTTAGCATGATTTCCTGCCGCTATTTACATAATACGTACATCAAATGGCCCCGACACCTACCCACCTAAGTACCCACCTTCACAAAAGATACTGCAACTCGTGTGGTGTTGCAATTGGCTCGGAGAGCGCAAGTAAAAGAAAACTGGTAATGGCGTACTCGATTCGGATGCGGGGAGTCGAACCCCGGTCTGCGAGTTATTTCCCTCAAAGCGATATATATATTGTTGCTCGCCGTGTTGTGTACACCACACCCGATGCTTCATCCCATGAATTCGTCTGTAAAGTAGATGAAGTTACAAAAGATACCTTCCCGCCGTCAAGCTGGACACTGTTGAATACGAACAATAGAATGGCTCCGACACTTACATACCCACCTTCCCAAACAACAACTCCCATGGTGTTGCAATCAAGGGGGCCAGAAACCAAAAAAAAAAAGTGTTACCTGGCGATCGTTACATTCGGATGCGGGGAGTCGAACCCCGGTCTGCAAGCTGCGCGTTCAAAGATACGGCAACTTCACCGAAGCTTGCTGTGTACCGTACACCACACCCGATGATATATAATGTGAGCCTGCGCTATATATGTAGGTGTGCAATGTGTTCAAGTTCTTTTCTACTGGTTTCTACCGTCACATCTTACGACGGGAACTACACCTCAAATGACAAGACGGCACCTGCACTCAGCCTTGGGTAATTGGTTATAATCAGTCAAGGTTCGATTCGAGTTCAAGTGCGCTCCTCGCTCCTTCTACTCCTTTTGCCCGGACCCTTGCCAAAAATCGCTACCCGGCTCGTCTCGCGCCTTGCCAATTCCTGGTTCAACACTGGCACATGGCATACAACGCTGATCCCTACCACACGCCGTCCGCCGTGCATTAGATTCTCTTCAACTCGTTTTGCCAAAATGGAAACTAAAATTGAAGGAAAAAAGACGGAGAGAGAATTGTATTTCCGGTGCGGGGAGTCGAACCCCGATCTGCGAGTTAAATTCAGGACACAGACCACACTGACGCTCGCAGTGTTGCGTACACCACACCCGATGGATTCATACCTGCGAGCCTGTGCTAAGTCCCACCAGGTCCGCGGGGAAAAAATCCGCAGCCCTCAAATCATGAGACCAGCGCCTGCATAATCTTGGGTAACGGTTTGAGTAATTGTTTATGAATTACAGCTGTTTGCAGAACTAATGACACTCCTCTAAAAATAGTTGAAAGAAAGCAATTCAAACCGCCGGATTTCCCTTCCTTCGTTCTCACCCATTTTTCAACGGATTCCCTTGAAAATGGATGCGTTAGAAAGCGGCAAAGCTGGGCTTCCCGACGTTACTCTATTCGACAGCTTATTACGTAAACTACCTGGCCCGAAATTTCCGGTTGCGTGGTTTGAACCCGGTGCGACAACGGCGATATCTTCACCGTCTGTCAACCGTTCTGCATGAATCTGGATGATTCGGAAAGCTGGAAGAGAGGCAATCATGTGTGTCTATGCTCGAAATGAAACACACATGATTTTGACCCGTAATAATGGAAATACAGATCTGCAGTGAATATACATTTCTGCCGGGTTGCGTTGATGTCAAAGCAAAAAGTATAATATCATATGGATTTGCTGCAATCCTGGCCTTCAGAATCACTTGGATTCATCCAAATCGGTTGACAGACAACAAAGATATTGCTGTTACTGCATATTGTTCAGACCACGCAGCTGAATTTTTCGGGACACGGAAAGAATGCAAGGAACGGTTGAGTAGGGTATGGTCTGGAAGCCCTGCTTCACCGCTTTCTAACGCTTCCATTTTTAGCAACATCGGGCGACAGATGAGCTCAGAATCAAGCCGGCAATCCAGGCAATCAAACTTGTTCTTATTCATCAAATTTTGATGAGTGTCATTAGTTCTGCAAACAGCTGTAAGCAATGATGAAGGTTCAACTTGAGTTCAAGTGCAATTCAACTGTGTTCCTCGCGCCTTCTACTCCTCCTTCTCGGACGCTCTCCAGGAGATTTCGCTACCCGTCCCGCGACAGACAGCGCCTTTTGCCGATCCAGACTCAACACTGGCAGGCGGCGTCCAGCGCTGGTCTCTACCCGACACCCTCTGACGACTGATGTATCTAATCTACTTCCTCCTCTCCCAGCAACAAAATAAAGGCAAAGGTCTGGAAAAAAGGGAACGGATCATCGGCGTGGGGAATCCGGGCGCGGAGTCGAACCAGGTAAGTGGCATATCCCTTGTGATGTTCGATACTTATGCGGACGGATTTGGCCTGAAAAAGGGCCAACTGTCCGATCACTATGCGGACGGGAACGGGCCAAAAAGACGGTCATCTCCGATCCTGTTATAGGACGGACATGGCTCCTGCGTAGCCATGTCCCATCTGTATGCGGACGGTCTGGCAGAAATTTTGAATTTTCTTCACCTTTTTACGACCAGAAACCGCTCTCTAGAGACATCGCGCCCAACTGCCCAAAATATCCCCAAAATACCCCTTCTCGTGCGCCAACGTTCGATCCATTATGCGGACGTTTCGAGCCAAAAATCAGGCCACCCGATCCTTATGCGGACGGATTTGGTCTGGAAAAGAAAGGACGGAAGGGCCAAAATCGGGCCATTTTGGATCGGACATCATATGGCATATGCCACTTACCTGTCGAACCCCGGTCTACAAGCGACGGAGTCAAAGGAATAGCCATCGTAACCCGCCGTGTTTCGTACACCACACCCGATGCTTCAACCCTACGAAGTGGGTGAGGTTCAACAGAGTTCAGCATAACATCCTGCCGTCCGACGTCGGATCCAACTCCGTTTGAACTTTGAATATTAGAATGACAGGTGCCCACCTTCATGCATAGGTAAGACCCCTTTCAAGCCCTTGATGCCTTGGTACACATGGCAGGACGGGTCGTTCAAGGAACCAGCTACGAGAGCGACAAAAAAAAAGATCAGAGAGAAAGCAAAAAGCAGGGGCCCGGAGACTATACTTAGTTCGGGGCGGGGAGTCGAACCCCGGTCTGCAAGTCAAGTACAAGTCTACTGCACCCTTTACCCAAGCTTGCTGTGTACCGTACACACACCCGATTAATTTATAAGGGTAATCCTCTACCATGTGAGTGCTTTTTCCCCTTCATTTCGCTACTATTTCAACTTCCGACTCGTCCCGCGCCTTGCCAATTCTGGATCCAACGCTGGCACACGGCGTCCAGCGCTGATCCCTACCACACGCCGCACCCGCTTCCCTTCCGCGCATTTAACTCTCTTCCGCTGTGCGAAGAAAGAAAGAGAGAAAAAAAAGGGGACAACAATGGGTTCACTGAATTCGGGTGCGGGGAGTCGAACCCCGGACTGCAAGTCGGGTACTGTTGAACACTCCTCCCCACCGAAGCTCGCTGTGTTGCTTACACCACACTCGATGAAATATAATGTGAGCCTGCGCCATGTAGATTCCAAAGGGTTCAAGTTCTTTTCTACTAGTTTCTACCGCCACATCTTATGACGGGAACTACACCTCAAATGACAAGACGGTACCTGCACTCAACCTTGGGTAATTGTTGATAATCACTGGCAGTCAAGGTTCAATCGGAGTTCAAGTTTGTTCCTCGCTTCTCCGAACTTTTTCTTGAACGCTTTCCAAAAAAATGCTGCCCGGTGTCTCGCGCCTTGCCAATTTTGATTCAACACTGGCGCACGGCGTCTAGCGCTGATCTCTACCACACGCCGCACCCGTTTCATTCCCTCATTCAACTCTCTTCCGCTGTGCGAAAAAAGAAAGAGAAAAAGGAAAAGAAAAATCAATGGCTTTATCGAATTCGGGCGCGGGGAGTCGAACCCCGGTCTGCAAGTCAAGCTTCAAGCTTCAAGTACAACACTATACTACACTGACGCTCGCTGTGTTGCGTACACCACACCCGATACACTTATACAAGTGACCCTACAACGTGAGGTAGAGCTCCACCAGACAATAAATACAGAATGTTCGTTCCAATTTCCCTGCACTCCTCTTTCTTCCTGCCTCCTCTCAACGCAATTAATAATAATTGAGAGGGCCAAAACAAAAACAAAAAAGGTTACCTGGCAATGGCTGCATTCAACGGGCGCGGGGAGTCGAACCCCGGACTGCAAGGTACATATATTGAGGCATTCGCCTACCAGTAGAGCCTGCGGTGTGCGGTACACCAAACCCGATGATTTTCAACGCAATATTGTCTGTAAAGTGCTGTTGGTGGGTGGGTGAGTTCAACGACCTCGAGTAGACTCGAAATCGTCACAACGATGCTACGAAGGTTTCCTCGCCTATCCTGAGTGTGTTGAACGCAAGAAGGCAATTGCAAGGAAGGGGCCAAGAAAAGGACACCAAAAGAGTGGTTGGGCGCGGGGAGTCGAACCCCGAGCTGCAAGCTGCGCACTCATATGTATGGCACATATACTGTGCAAAAATCATCTGACTGGTCGCATCTCAGTGGAAACAGGGTTTTCGGTCGCATCTTTCGTTTTTTCACTAAACTGCTTACAACTAAGCCAAATGGTTGCAACTAATTATTTATGAGTTTCAATTGGAGGTTTAGCAGCTATGTCCATGTTGGCTTGCTTCAAGGAGACTTGGTTGAAGTTGGGGTTGAAAATATGTTTGATATCGCAGCGTTCTTGATCGGAACAATGATACGATCAGCATCCCGAGATCTATGATATGAAGGGAAGCGGACTCAGTGTGCCTTGTCGAAACACCAAGTAATGCTTGAGACAGTGACAATTAGGTGGTAAATACTGCTATGCATCTCTTAAAGTCATGTTTCATGGAAATGGATGCTGTGGTATCTTTACATTGGCCATCGACGAAGAGGAGTTTGAAAACACCGATCTGACCAAAACATTCCGAATATTCTGAGCTCAGGGTGATCATATACTCCTGAGAAGTAGAATGACCCAATATTCACCATCCTCGACATCCCATTTCCCTGCCCGCCTTGAAATAAAGCCTTTATTGTTGAGCCGATACCCGAGCTGATCACGATCAGACTCCAAATAATGACAATGTTGATGGGAGATCAGATGCAACCCAACTGCAGCGACATGTAACCCAAATACAAGATGTAAGCCATCATGCGAGATGTCACCCAATATTCGGAATGTTGTTGTAAGCTGCGACCCAAAACCCTGCAACTTTTCGCTAATTTTTGCATAGTATATCGCCCATACATATGTATATACTATGGCATATATACTGTCCAATAATTATTTACTGGTTGCATCTCCATGGATACAGGGATTTTGGTCGCATCTCCCAGATTCTGTCCGAACTGCTTACAATCAAAACAAATGGTCTCAACTGATTCCTTGAGGGTTGCATCTGACGACAAGGCCAAAGGCTTACATCTGTAGGACTTGTTGTTGAAAAAGTTCCATGGTTTTGATAGAATTGATAACAGCAATGATGCCGTTAAACGCCGAACGCCATAGAGAGAAGGTGGTTCGATTTTCAGCATCGGAAGACATTTGAAGCCAACGGGAACACTTCTGTAGTCTTAGCTGAGTAACCAAAGGCCCCGGGGCCGTATCCTTTTACTAAATGAGAGCATCCGAGTGATTGGAAATAAACGGACGTGAAAATGGTGATCTGCGGCATTCATCTAGGATATTGGAGTTCACGTCCTTCATAAGCCGCTGGAGAAACACATGGGCAATAAGTCGAAGTATGATAAACCTACCACATCTACCAGGCATGGACTCCAGGTTTCCGGTGGGTTCCTGAATGAGCTGATAGTTGGACTGGTCGCAAATCATGATCTGCTGTTGATCCGAGGTTAGCCGCCTAGAGATGCAACCCTGGTGACGCCAGATGCAATCCAGATGTGAGATGTCAGCTCGGAGAGATGTCACCCAATTTCAACACTGCAGATGCAAGCTGCAGCCAAAAACCCTGTAAATTTTCGGTAATTTTTGGACAGTATATCGCCCATACATATGTACTGCAGCTCTATGGCATATATACTGTCCAAAAATTATTTGATGGTTGCATCTCGGTGGATGCAGGGTTTTTGGTCGCATCTCCGGGACTTTGTTCAAACTTCTCACATCTAAATGAGTTGGTGTCAACCGAGTTGATCCCAACAATGATGCTGTCGCCGTGCCGGAGAACGAAAAGGGAAGGTGGTTGGATTTTCTGCTGTGGAGGACACACACATTCAGGCACAACACTCTTTTAGCATTGCCTTGCGCCGCAAAGAGCCCGGGTCCGTGTATCTGCACCAAATCAGTCTAGTCCACTTCCACCCGGCAGATTGCCCAAAAGATAGTTGGAGAGGGTGATTTACCGCATTCCTTCACCGAGTTGAATCTTGGGATGTCTGTGGGGTGTGGAACAGTTCTATAGTTCAATGGGACATGTCCGAGGCCATTCCCAGGCGTGCAAGGCACAAATTTGAGTATCTGGAGCCGTTCCTAGGTGAGCCGATAGCCGAGGTGATCGCAAATCATGATGGGAGCTAGCCGCACGGAGATGTAACCCAAGTCGACGCCAGATGCAACCCGAATCCGAGATGTCAGCCGACAAGATGTTACCCAAGCTCCGGAATGCAGATGTAAGTTGTAAGCAAAAACCCTGCAACTTTTCGTTTTCGTTATTTTTTGGACAGTATATCGCCCATACTGAACATTTGGTCGAAATAGTACAGTACAGCTCAACCGAAGCTTGCTGTGTACCGTACACCACACCCGATTAATTCGTACGTGTGGTCCTGCGCCGTGAGGTAGAGCTCCACGGAGAATGTTCATCCTAATTTCCTCCTCTTTCAGCCTCAGCTCAACGCACCCTCCCCCATGACACGGCTCCCCACCACCACCACCATCTGCCCAGGTTGCCCCATAGCGTTGCAATTGAGAGAGCGAGAAATAAAATAAAAAGATGTGGAAATCACGCTATTCGGATGCGGGGAGTCGAACCCCGGTCTGCAAGCTACAGATCCAAAACCACAGCTACGCGAGCTCGCCGTGTTCCGTACACCACACCCGATGATTTGCTCGGTGTGAGCCTGTGTTAGATGGGTGAGTTCAAGTGCAATTCAAGTGTGCCTCTCGCTCCTGCTAATCCTTTTTCTCGGATTCAACACTGGCACACGGCGTCCTGCGCTGATGCCTACCGGATACCGTCGCAGACAGCCGATGTATTCACAGCTTTGCCCAGCCAAAGAAAAAAAGGGGGGGCGTCAGCCAAAAAAAAAAAAACGTAGGAAAAAGCGGCCTTTCTCAAAGTGAATGCGGGCGCGGGGAATCGAACACCGGTCTGCGAGGTATATCCTGCCATACCATACATTCATTGTCGCCCGCTGTGTTGCGTACACGACACCAGATTATCTGCACTACGAACTCGTCGGCAACGTGGGTAAGTTCAACATTTTCTTGTTGTCAGCTGCGACAATTGCCCACCTGCTACGCGTCCAAAAAAACAGATATACCGAAGCTCGCTGTGTACCGTACACCACACCCGATGAATTCATACGTGAGATCCGGTGGTACGTGGGTGAGTTCCAAGTTTTGTTTACTTCATATCGCGACGATTAAATTCAACTCCCGACCCGTCCCGCGCCTTGCCAATCCTGATTCAACAGTGGCACACGGCGTCCAGCACTGTTCGACGCCGCCGTTTTCCCTCCTTGACAACTGAAGTATTCACGGTGTGGCCCAGCAGAAGCAGAAAAAAAGAAGAGCTCTGCAGCTGGTGGTCGTTGCATTCGGATGCGGGGAGTCGAACCCCTGTCTGCGAGTGAACATCCCGCCCGACGATACAGATATTGTAAAGCGCCGTGTTGCGTACACCACACCCGATATCTTCTCTACAAACTTGACCGCACAAGAGATGAGTTCAACAGAGTTCGTCGCGATTTCCTGGCGTCAGCTGGATCCTTGCCAGACACCACTTTCCCTCGCTAACGCTAACAGCTGAAGTAGTATGTATCCAACTCCCAGTCAAAAACGATCGGAACAGGAGCTTGGGGAAGCGCCAGGAAAAAGTGTCGGAAAAAAGGAAAAAAGGTAGAAAAAAGACAGCCTTCCTCAAAGTGAATCCGGGCGCGGGGAGTCGAGCCCCGGTCTGCGAGTTATATATCCCGCCGAACAACGTCTTCCATTGTCATTCGCCGTGTTACGTACACCACACCCGATATCTCCCTCTACAAATTTGTCCGCAAAACAGATGAGTTGAACGGAATTCGTCATAATTTCCTGCCGTCGAATTCACGTGGAATGACCGCGACAATTACCCTGGGCCGCCCTGAATTTGGCTCCAGAGCCCTCGATGCCTCGGTACGCAGGATGGGTCGTTCAAAAAAGCGGATACTACGAGAGCGACAAAAAAAAGGGCAAAGAGAAAGCAAAAAGCAAGGGCTCGAAAACCACACTTAGTTCGGGGCCGGGAATCGAACCCCGGTCTGCAAGTTGCATGATATAGAACACCTTCATTGTAACTCGCCGTGTTGCATACACCACACCCGATATCCTCTCTACAAATTTGTCCGCACAACAGATGAGTTCAACAACCTGAGAGTTCGTTTGAATGATTTCTTCCAGCCTCATCTCAGCGCAGCCTACCCCCACATTGCAGTCCCACGACCTCCATCCTCCAAGGCGACGCGGCACATGATCATATTTGCGCCGAGGAACAGCTGAAAGGTGAGAGAATCAAAGAAACGCCGAAAAGGCGAGGACGGCCTTCGGCTATCAAACACGGGCAACTAGGCCCGGCCGTGATGCGATGCGATGCGATGCCAAGCCGAGGAGAGCCGAGTGAAGGATGAAGGATAGGGGGGTTAATTAAGGTTCAAGTGTGTTCAATTAGCAGGTTCAATTAGGAGGCTGGGTTCCTGAACGTCTTTCGACTCCTCCAGGAAGAAACTCACTGCAAAAGAGAATATTACTGTTACTAATACTATCACATAGCAAAGACGAGTCGATACGGATCACGGCGTTCGTTGCACTGTTTCAACTCCCGACCCGCGACAGACAGCGCCTTGACGGACACCGGCGTCCAGCGCTGATCCCTACCAGAATGGCATTCCTACGCACAACCTCCACAGACAGGCCGTGTTCAATTCTCTTCCTCTTCAACTCGGCTTTGCCAAGATGGAAACTAAAAGACAAATGTCAAAGCGAGACCGAAGTTCGGGCGCGGGGAGTCGAACCCCGATCTGCAAGCTACTAGGATGTCCACGTACCACTCAAGCTCGCCGCGTTCCGTACACCACACCCGATAAATTCATAGGTGTGAGCCTGTGCTATGTTACTAGGTGCCACGGTGCGTTCAAGTTCTTTCTACGACGTGAGGTAGACCTCAAATCACGGCATATATGCTTGGGGTGCTGCTTTAATAACTTTGATCAAGGTTCAATTCGAGTGCAAGTGCAATTCAAGTAAGTGTGTTCCTCGCTCCTTCTACTCCTTTTCCTCGGACGCTCTCCAGGAGATACTATTTCGAATCTCGCTACCATTTCGCTACCGACCCGTCCCGCCTTGGCCCTTGACGGACACCGAACGGCAGACGGCGTCCAGCGCTCATCCGATGCCCTACCAGTAGCCTTTCCCTCGCTGACAACCAAAGTATTCAACTCTCCTCTGGCGCTCGGCTGTGCCCGGCGAAACAAGCGTCGAAAAAGCCAACTAAAAAGCAGTCCATCAGGGCGCGGGGAGTCGAACCCCGGACTGCGAGTTATATCCAAGCCAACGATATTTTCTATCGTCGCTCGCGGTGTTTCGTACACCACACCCGATGCTTCAACCCTATGAAGTGGGTGAGTTTGTAATTCCCTGCCGTCAAGCTGGACGCTGTTGAATACGAATGGCTCTGACCCACCTTCACGAACAACTCCCGCGGTGTTGCAATTGAGGGCCGAAAAAAAAAAAAAAAAAAAAAAAAAAGGTTGGAGATCGTTGCATTCGGATGCGGGGAGTCGAACCCCGGTCTGCAAGGTACATATATTGAGGCGCTCGCCCAACATCAAAGCCTGCGGTGTGCCGTACACCACACCCGATGCCACCCCTACGAAGTGGGTGAGGTTGTCGGCAAAGTCGGTGAGGTTCAACAGGGGGTTCAGCATAACATCCTGCCGCTGTGAATCCGATACAATGGCCCCGGAATCTGCCCACCTTCGCGAATGATAACTCCTTACAGGTTTGCCTATGAAGTAGATAAATTCCGAATGATACAAGATCCAGATAACGGTTCAACGCACGACACAATCAACGGATTTTTCGTAAGTTGAGGGGCACCCCCAACCGAAAACTGAGGAACAAAAAGAAGGAAAAGGGAGTTCAACCATCGATTTAGACGGGAATGGGGAATCGAACCCCGGACTTCGCAGTTTATTGCCTCGAAGATGTAGTGGAGCTGACAATGTTTCGTACCTTGCACGGCACCCTATTATTCGGTGAAGTGGGTTAGTTGCGAGAGATGGAAATGGAGCTGCACGCACCACATCTCTCGGTTCAACGAATAAAAAAAAATGGCCGGGTTGAGAGGGAGGAAAGATCTGGAAAGCCCACTGGCATATGAGGCGCACGAATAAAAAGGGAGGGTCGGATCCGATTATCTTCTAAGACATTGTGGGGAGTCGAACCCCATTGTGTTGCTCGCCCAACATCAAAGCCTGCGGTGTGCGCGTGCCGTACACCACACCCCGATGATTTTCCATGCAAGATTGTCCGTAAAGTGCTTTACTAGTGGGTGAGTTCACTGACCGGGATTAGACTCGAAACCCTCACACTACTCACTGCGACTATGGCAATACGATGTTCCCCGGTCACGCTCTTCGAAGCTACACCGCACCCGATGATCTGACTGACCCAACACGACATCCCCGTCGCTATCTCTCTCCTTCCGAAACGAACCGAGATAAGTGGGCAAGAAAAAAAGGAAGAGTTGCTGCATGCAATTCATTCCACGGCGGGGAGTCGAACCCCGGACTGCAATCCACACATGTGTGGAAGGATTCAGTTCAAACCGTGTGTCAAACACCACACCCGCTACTTCCACGACCGGGTTTGTCTGACAAGTGGGTGAGTTCCAAGTGATTAAAAAAAATGCGACACACACTCCTCTGTGTAATATAACGGATCGAATTTCCCACTCGAGCTGAAAATGGAAGAAACCGAAGGAGCAACTTGAATGAGAACACAAAAAAATGCGACGTGACAAGACCTACTAACTCGGATGCGGGGAGTCGAACCCCGGTCTGCAGTTGAACACCGAACAAGTCTGGCATCCAGTCGCAATTGCCGTGTTCCGTACACCACACCCGATTATTTGCACCACGAACTTGTCTGCAAAGTTGCCGAGTCTAAACCACGAGAGACTGGACGGGGTGCGGAACTGCCAGCGAAGGGATACAGTACTAGTAGTAAGCAAAACGCAAGAAAAGGCTCCGCCTTCAACCAAGTCGGGGCGGGGAGTCGAACCTCGGACGATAAACTACACAGTTACAACGGACGACGTAGCTGTGTTCTTCCGTGTACCACACCGGATGCCTTCCTCTGCAAGACTTCTGAATGTCTCGGCGTTAATCGGAACCGGGGCATGGAAAGAGGACGTGATTCGCCGGAGGAACGCATAATACTAGTACTTATCACTCCCGCAGCATCCAGAGATAAGATGCGGACGCGAATGGGACGTGGTTTGTCGGATTTGTAGTTCTTCATGAATCATCAGTCGAAATCTGCTGCCCTGAGGTTTGAAGTTCCGTTGATCCTTTTTTATCTGATCCAGAGCATCACTGGCACCCCAGAGAATCCTTTGCAAGCGGAGCTCCCCGACGCGGGCGGCGATTGTGGTGGCAATGGCGAAGGCGCAAATGCTGTGCATTTCAGTGTTGCAAAGTAAGGGGTTAATAAGGGCTCCGGCGGAATTTAAGGCCTTAGAATCAGATAAGGGTTATTAAGGGTAGCCATTATAAGGGCAAAATAAGGGTTATTTTCCAGGATAAAAAAGTCAACGGCACGACCTTTTTCCTGTGATGCATGCATCAGTGCGTGTCCTGAGATCATAGTGAGCTCTCGGTACACCGCCAGTGGGTCAAAAAAATTGTTGGGCCATCGGAATGGTCTTTCATGCTCTCGAAGGGATCATATTTCCGCAGGATCGAAGCCGTTGGGTAGGATTGACGAGGAGCGGCGAATGCCGACTTCAGCCATAGTTATTCCCGTCCACCAGGCTGAGTCGGCAACATATCGGCTGCCTCGGCCTTCTCGGCCTCCCCGTAGCTAAGGGTTAGTAAGGCCTTAGAATCATCCTGAGCTCATTCTAAGGCCTTATCTTATAATTAAATAAGGGCTTATAATTAATAACCCTTATCATTATAATGCAACACTGGCACTGCATTTGTTTAGTCGTGTGTCCGTATCACGTGCATGTTGGTCTCTCCGCCGCAGCCTCTTCGGAAGTCTTCTGAATTTTCCGCACTTTCAGTCTCGAATTGCAGCGGAATCCAAGCGGAAACGACACACCGTAAGACTTATTATTCTCACTGGACCGCTTCTGGGCCATCCTTTTGGCGTTTATCAGCACCTCTCACGAGAGCGGGTTCCGGATGACGTTGCCCTCGGCGGCTGAGAAGAATAAATACTGGTACTACAGTCGTTCGCTCAGTCGAGAACAATGGAAACCCCTCCGAATATGACATACGGTCCGTCGCCTGTCTGCACGCTGCGGCCCCTCAATGCAATAGAATTTAATGAATTCCTAGTGCGACTCGGGACATCGGGCTTGAAAGTGTCCAGGATCATCCTAGGCTGCATGTCTTACGGTGATCCGAAGTGGGCTAGCTGGGTCCTGCCGGAGGAGGAGGCGTTCAAGCATATCAAAGCCGCGTGAGTGCAGGATCGATTCATATCGGCTCGCGAGCCATGGTGCTGAATCCATATTCATCAAGCTACGACGCCGGTATCAACACCTTTGACACCGCGAACGTATGTCAACCCACGTAGATGGTACTGAGTGCCCACTAATGCCCTTTATTTAGGGCTACTCTAATGGCGTCTCCGAGGAAGTGCTCGGCCGCGCCATCAAGCACCACAACCTTCCTCGCGACGAGATCGTTGTCATGACCAAGGTGTTTCTCCCCGTCTCGAAGAACGTCAGCGACAATCTCTACCCCGGGCCCGATCTCGACGCCAAAGGCTATGCGAACCAGTGCGGCCTCAGCCGCAAGGTGCGTTCCTTGCTACATACGTATCAATTAAACTTATGTAGCATTTAACTTGGGCAGCACATATTCGACTCCGTGAAGCACTCGCTCCGTCGTCTGGGGCTCGAATATATCGACGTCCTCCAGTGTATGTCAGCTTTGCCCCGATGTAATGCGCACGGCTGACTAGCGCAGGCCATCGGTTCGACCCAAACACCCCCATAGAAGAGACGGTACGAGACACCTACTGGGGTGATATTTATTATTGAGCTGAGCCAGATGCACGCGCTGCATGATGTCGTCAAGGCAGGATACGTCCGGTACATCGGCATGTCGTCCTGCTCCGCCTGGCAGTGTACGTCCCCCGGAATATGTCACCCCGCTCAACAATCTGACTGATTTGCCACCTAACCTCTCCCGTGCAGTCCACGCAATGCAGAGTGCGTCACTTGCCTCTCTTCCCTTCTAACGCGCAATACGCGACTCGTAAACTGACTGATTCTAACAGACTACGCAATCACCAACAAGTTAACACCCTTCATATCCATGCAGAACCACTACAACCTACTGTATCGGGAAGAGGAGCGCGAGATGTTCCCTACGCTCAAGGTGACCATCCGCTCGAACTGCGAATCCTTGTACTTATGCATCCCAAGCACTTCGGCGTCGGCTCGATCCCATGGTCCGCCATTGCCCGCGGCGCGCTGACCCGCCCCCTCTCGCAGCAGAGCCTCCGCGCAGAAACGGACGGGTACGTAAATTTAAATCTTGCGCCTCCACCGGTAAGAAAATATGTTGACTCGTCAACCAGATTCTCGGCCAATTACTACATTCAATCTGCGGACAACCAAGCCATCGTGAATAGGTCTGTTCCGCACAATCATTCCCAGCGCTGGAATAAAGTTCGCGGCTTCTGACTATGATGCACAGGGTGGAGGAGATCGCGAAGGAGCGGGGAATCAGTATGGCGCAGGTGGCCCTTGCGTGGGTCCTGTCCAAGGACGGTGCGCACATAGACTACTTGACAATAGAAAATTGCTCATCATCGCGTTTCTCTAGGCGTCTCCGCTCCCATCGTCGGGACTACGTCGCTCGAGAAGCTGGCGGATATCGTCGGTTTGTTTTCGGGTGCATGATCGTGCTGACATTGGTTGAAGGCGCGATCCATGTGCAACTGACGGAGGAGGAGATTAAGTCCTTGGAGGAACCGTACCAGCCGAAGGCGGTTTTCGCGCTGTTCTGATCAAGGCTTTACGATACAAAGGCAAAAATCCGGCGTTGGTCAGAAAACTGAATCAGATAACCAGCAAGCTCGAGGCACCCAAAATAATCACCAAAGAAATTTCTATTCAACGGCCTCATGTAATTGGTATGCTACATGATAATGTGTATGCAGCGTCAATAAAGGTCCGTGGTAACGATTTCTCATGTTCTTTCAATTGTCCGCGCAAAAGTAAAAGCAAGTCCGGGGCGATTACAGGCCGAGGGTGGCGAGCGTAAGGCCGAGGGCGAGCGAGCGCAGGAGGCCGGCAACGTCGACCAGGCTAGGAGCGTGAGTCAGTAAGTGAGAAAGATGAAGGGGTCGGGCGGAGGACATACAGGGTCGCGACGAGGTTGAGGACACCGGCGAGGAGGATCTCAAGGCCGAGCAGAACCTGGTTGAGTGCAACGTCGAGGCCGGCGAGGAGACCGCCGAGGGCAGGGATGGATGCAGCCTCGCCGAGGAGCCCGTCGAGCGCCTTGGTGACATCGGTGAGGATTCCAGCGACGAGGTTGGCAATGTCGTCGTCGGACTGGCGCTTGGCCTGCTCGACGGGGGAGAGGGTCGCGAGCGAGGCGGTCGCGGTGTTGAA